GCCCCCCCCCCCCCCCCCCGCTGGGTCAGGGCCCACCAAGTGGCCGCTGCTGATTTCAGGGAGGCTGCGCTGATGGGCCTTGGAGTCTCTTTGCCGCTCGCTCCCAGCGGGCCCGGCGCCTGCGGCTTGGCTTGCTCTTTCGCGGCAGCTAACTTGAGTTCACCCAACTGGCGCTTGTCCGTTGAGGCCCAGGGCTGCATTGCTGTGGGTGCTGAGCTTCGTTGTGGAGGGTCCTGGGTGGTTTTTCCGCTGGGGTTAGCGGCCCTTGCTCAGCCTGCTGGGAGATTCCGGTTTGTTTGGTTCGGTTCTTGTTTAGGGTAACGTGGGAATCCGAAGCTGGATTAATGCTCAGGAACCCAGGTTGGGTATGTGGTGTGAATCCTGTCCTGGGAACTGGGCCAGGCCAGCCTGAAACCCACTAATGCTCTGCTCCATTTGGCAGCCTCTGGCGCTCGTCCCGCAGGAGCCCCTGCCGAGACCTCCAGGGTCCCTTCCCACTCTGTTACTCTGGGAGTTCATCCTTGGGAGGATTTGGCTCCAGGAGTTGCGGGCGCCCCGTCCCTGGAGGTTTTCAAGAGGAGATTGGACTAGAAGACCTCCAAGGTCCCTTCCCACTCTGTTATTTTGTTATTCTGACTGGGGGAAAGGCTTATCCTGGGGGGGGGCGGTTATCTGTCCAGGCAGTTTGCTCCAGGGAGGGGCCATCGAATTGCAGGGGTTGCAGGAAACCCAGTCCTGCAAAAAAAGAAAAAAAAAAGAATCGTTTTTGTGTGTGTGTGTGTGTGTGTGTGTCTCGCTTGTGCCAGTATTGGGGGATCAGGGCAGGTGCTGAGGCTACGCCAGGCCTCAAGGGTGGAAGTTGAGAGCCAAAGGGGTGGGGCTGTCCCAGAGTCTTAGTTTAGGATGTGGGCTCTGCTTGCCCAGGGCCAGCCTGGAGTCCGAGCTCTCCCTCCCTCCCTCCCTCCCTCCCTCCCTCCCTCTGTGTTTGTGTGTGTGTGTGTGTGTGTGTGTGTTGTGCTCAGGCACAGGCTGGGAGAGGCGGCAAGCAGGGAGAAGTCTGGCTTGGCGCCTTGGACTGACTCATGGACTGGCTGGCAGCTCCACTCCTTGGGACCTGGGCCTGGGCAGCCGTGGGGGCAAGGGGGCTGGAGGGAGGGCCGGGATAGGCCTTTGGGGAGTGGAGGGGGGCTCCGTGTGTGGGGGGAGCCATGGCCGCTTTCCAGCTGGCTGCCTTGGAGGTGGGCGAGTGGACCTTATGGAGCTCAGCACTAAGAACGTGCTGGGATTCTAGGCCAGCTGCCGGGGGGGGGGGGGCAGGGCATGCGGGCATGGGCGGGTGGCGGGGAGGGGCTGCTGTCCTGCCTGCCTCTCACAGGGCCACCCTGGCACTCCCTTTGCCAGCCAGTGTGTGGAGTGGTGAGGCTGTGCCAGAGCGATTGGCCCCGGGGTCTCTGTGCTGGGAGCGGGGCTGGTGCAGGGCCACTTTGCCCTCTGGCGTGCTTGAGCACTGACGGGGTGGGAGGCGCTTGGCAGGGGGCAGAACACCTCGTGGGGGTGGGCTAACAGAGGGGGCGGGGTCAGGGCCCATCTCTGCCCCCTCCATCCAGGGGCTGCCTTGCCCCCCCCTCCCCGATGGGCCTGTGGTCTAGGAGGAAGGGGTCTCGCCTGGAGCAGCGGAAGGGGCCCCACTGCCGGTCCCTTGGGCAGCCCCTCTCCCAGCACAGGGCATCTGAAGGGCCCAGGCAGCCCGGCGTCTCCCCACACCCTGGTTTCCCCCCTGCCAAGCTGAGCGGGGGGGGGGGGACACCCACTCCATGTGAATGGCTGAACCCCCCTCCTCATCTGCTCTCAGGCAGGATGGAGAATAGTTCCGTGGGTTCCCTTGTGATGCTGTGGGGTTGTTTGGTGTGCAGGGTGGCAATTGTCGTTTGCCAGCTGTTCCTCCGGGCTGAGCTGGGGTGGAGACAATTCCTTGGCTCTCCTTCCTATGAAATGGGGGTTGGGGGGGTGGAGGTTGCTGTGGGGCCAGGCGGTGAGGGTGCTTCAAACTTTATATGCCCCCAAGAAAGCTGCGGGGGGGAGGGGCAGTCAGAGGGCTGGTGGGAGCAGCTTCTGCGCTGGGAGGGCGACAGGGAGGGGCTTCCCATCTTCCCAGACCTGCAGGGGGCAGGACCCGGGCTCTGATGGGGGAATGGGGGCAGGCGACATGCCAGGCAGCTGGCTTCCCTCCTTCAGGGGCCCTGCCTGCCCATGTCTCCCCTACAGGCTCAGCGCCTCAGGGGCAGCTCCAGGGCAGACACAGGTTGAGGTCCACATCTGGGTGAGGTGACCCCCTCTGACCCTGGGCCTCCCCTGCCAGCACAGCCGGGTGCTCAGCCTCGAGGCCCACGGCTGGCAGAAGGGGGCAGAGAGCTGTGCCAGGCTGGCCGTGGGGTAGATGGAGAGGGGCATCGGAGCCCTTCTTGCTTAGAAGGGGGCCATGGGCTCCAACCAAAGGGGAAGGGTGTGTCCCACACTGCCCCCCCCCCCCCCCGCCACAAAGAGAGGCTCCGCGTGGGCTCCTCCCGGTTGCCCAGTGCAGGCCCCTCTCGGAGTGGGGTGGGGGGAGCCGCATCCAGAGCCAGGAAGACGGGGTGGGGGGAGCGGGCAGAGCGGAGGGAGGACTGAGGCATGGACTAAAAAGGGCAGGAATGGCTGCAGAGCCCAGGAATTTGAGAGGGAGGCTCCACTGGCGGGGGGGGGGGGGGGGGGGGGGGCGGCGGGTGACCGGGCCCCCCCTCGCGGGGGGGGGGGGGGGGGGGGGTGGCTGCTGTGGCTGGTGCAGACTCAGCCTCTGACTGGGGTCTCTTCCCAGCCGCCGCCCCCATCCCGTCCTGGTTGGGCTGCGTTGGGGAAAGGGCCCCTCAAACCTGGCCCCAGGGGCGCTGTGGGGTTTGGGGGGTTCTTTGGGGGTTCTGTGCTCGGCTGCCCAGCGTCCCCATGGGTGAGACAGGCGGCTACATAGATACGACTTATAAATAAAGCTGGCAGTGGGCCTTCCAGCCTCTGGGCGGAGCCCCTGGTGGGCACCTAAGCAGCCTTGTGCTTGGCCACTGGGGTGCTGTGAATGGAGCTGGGGGGGGGGCTGGAGTTGGCTTTGGGGGGCCCCAGCGGAGACCCCCGGCCCTGAAAGAGCGCAGCTGTGCCAACTGGGTAGGCGCCCCTTTGCCTTGTCCTTGTGCCCGGTTGATGGCAGTGTTGGGGGAAGGGGCTTCTGAGCGTTGGCTGGCTGGTCTCCCCCCACTTCCCTGCCCCGTTGGCCCCATGGGGGGTGCCCAAAGCTGTTCCGAGGCGCCCGGATGCCTTCCCTGAAGCAGAGGCCCCTGGAGGGCCAGCAAGGGGAGGGAAGGGGGTGGGGTGGCAGGCTGGCACAGGGGTTGCGGGGCAGAGGGATCTCCTCTCCGTGTGCCCTGCCCGGCCCTTCTGGTTTGAAAGCCTCCGGGCAGGAATGCCACCTTCGCGGGTTCTTCATCTCTGTGCGGCTTCAGACCAGGGCTGGGCCGTGAATCAAGGAAGCGACAGCTGCTGTCCAGCGGTTTCCACATCCAACCTGCCACCATGCTGAATGGGGGGGGGACTTTGGAATGAGGAAGGTCAGGAGAAGCCATCGCGGGGGGGGGGGGGGAACCTCTTGCTTAACAGCAGGTCCCACATGCGTGTTCTGCCCTCCCCCCTCATTCTGCTCCCCCTCTTTTGTTCCACGCTTCCCACTTCCCCAACTCTTTGGGCCCTCCCCAAAGGGCCTGTCCTCGGTCTCCCTCAATGGGAGGCCACTGGCAATTGGGGGGAGGGGGCTCCAGCAAAACTGGGGTGGGTGGGGGTGGCTATGATGGCAACGTGTGTCTGGTGTGTCTGGAACCTCTGGCTGGATCCTTTGGGAGCAGATTTCCCAACCGTGGGCCTTGGGGAGGGGGTGCACTCCCGGAATTCCCCAGCCAGCCTGCTGACTGAGGAGGGGGCTGGGGAATTCTGCCCCCCTCCAGGGCCACGGTTGGGAAACCTTGGTGTAGAGGCCTGACCCAGCTGCTCGGGCAGCTCCACGGCTGTGACTCTCTTTCTGGCTGGCTGGTTTTGCAGCTGTGGCGGATTCAGAAGCTGGCCCTCTGCCTCCTGGTGCGCCGGACTTCGTTTCCCAGGATTTCCGGCCTAGGGACGGATGGCGTGGGCACTGGAGAGGCTTGTTGACCAGCATGTTGAGCTCTGCTCCACAAGGCCTCTGAGCACCACAGAGAGCCGGTTCCGCAGGGCCTGTCCGGACGGGGCTGGGGGCTTCCCCGCTGCGCTAGAGTGACCCCCGGCTGTCCCCACAGGTGAGGCACCGCCAGTCAGGGCAGGTCCTGGTGCTGAAGATGAACAAGCTGACCAGCAACCGAGGGAACATGTTGCGCGAGGTGCAGCTGATGAACCGGCTCTGCCACCCCAACATCCTCCGGTAGGCCAGGAGGGGCTCCCCCGGTCTGGAGGAAGGGGCCCTGCTGGGGTGGAAGGCTTCAATGGGCCCCAGGGGAAGAAGGGCCGGGAGGCTCCACCACCTGCTCCTGGCCCTCCTGCCGGGGGCCCCGGGGGCCGCCCCAAGGGAGAGCCCCAAGCAGCGCTCCTTGTGCCCAGAGAGCCCCCTGGGGGTGGGGGAGGGTGAGCACGGGGCCCAGGTCCAGGGCAGAGCAGCGGGTGGCCCTGCTCCTTTCCCCCCAGGGGCGCTGGGGACGGAGGGAAGCCACGGGGGGGGGGGTCTCGCTGCTGATGGTTCCTCTCCCCTCCCCCTGCCAGGTTCATGGGGGTCTGCGTCCACCAGGGCCAGCTGCATGCGCTGACAGAGGTGAGTGTTGGGGCCGGGCATCAAGGGTCAGCCAAGGGCCCGGCTGTTCCAGGGGACAAAGGGCCCCACAACTTCCCCTCCTTTCTCTCCCTGCAGTACATCAATGGGGGGAACCTGGAGCAGCTGCTCGATAGCCCCACCCTGCTCCCCTGGCCTGTCCGCCTCAAGCTGGCCCTGGACATCGCCCGGGGGCTCTGCTACCTGCACAGCAAGGGCATCTTCCACCGGGACCTGACCTCCAAGGTGGGGGGGGGG